GGGACTAGATGACACCCAGCGCACATGCTGGTGGCCCAGAGGAGTTGAATTCCTGGTGCCAAGCTCTGTCACTGACCTACTAAGTTGAGTCACAATTCACTTTGCTGCAGGGGGAACACCGGAACAGGCAGCAGCCATCTCTTACTCTCGACTCCTCTGCCTAAGCCACTGAGCTGCTAGGAAAAATTAAAATAAAACCCATGCACTGACTGACTGGTACAGATTTGTGACTATGTGCCCAGTGATATTTAATGACTTGTTTTACTTGTCAGTAACCGACCTTCTTCCCCAGAGAAGCTGTCTGTAACCATTTCCCCCAAATCTCTCTCAAATTCCTCGCTCTCAGCAGAGAACTGCGCCATGACTTGTCCTCTTCTGAACCTTCATCTCTCCCTCTCTGCTGGCTCCTCAGCCTTAAACGTGCTCAAAACTCCAGCATCCTAGAATTTTTCCTTTCACTTCACTATTATCTTAAGCGACTGCTATTACTCTTTGATTTATTGTCAAGTCATGAAACAGTGATCTATACTTGCTGTCTACATCTTTTCATCACTCATCTGGTCTTCAAGCCCCCGGAGTGTGGCTCCTGCCCTTTGCTTTTCCACGTCCCTCTATAAAACCTCTTCATCCACGGCACCCTCGCCTTCTGACACTTGTTTCCACAGGCGGCTGTCAAGTTATTCTCATCTGGTGTTTGCACTCCTGTCAGGCCGGCTTGAGATTCAACTCAAACACGGTTTCTTCTTCCTAGCTTCCATGCTCATCCTGACCTTCTCCCACGAAAAAGGAGAGTGTAATTCTAATTATGTGTTCCTAAGGCACTTTCCCATTCGACTGTGACTTCACTCACCTGTACACCTTCCCTGCGGGAGCTCAAACCAGCACACTAAAAACTTTCCTTTGATGTCACTATTATCTTAAAACGTCATCATTTCTCTTTGATTTATAATCAAAGTCATGAAACAGTGATCTATATTTGCTTAGTTACAACTTCTCATCACTCATTTAGTAATGACCTGCAGACCCTCCCCACTAGGCTGTGAATTACTTAAAGGCAAAGATTAATATTTCTAGTGCTTGACACACAGCCTGGGGTTGATTAATCTCAGTGAACAAAAGCAGGTGTCGTCCTTCGTACTTGCTCCTGCTACAGGACTGTGGTGGGCATCATTAGCTGTCCATCCAGCAAACAATACCTCCTTCCTTGCTCTTTTGGCCCCAGTCTGCATAGTGACAGTGAGTGCAGTCCAAGGAGATGAATCATGATTGGTCCAAATCTTCTCTGCCAAGTACTTTCCCAGCCACTCTTGCAGGCATGGGTGGCCACATCAGCAAGTTCTGGCTTATGGACTCTACAGGAGGTCTGCTGGAGGATGGGAGCTTCTGGCAAAGATTTTTATTCCTGGTCAAAAAAGGAGAGAGGCACACAAAGATAATTCTTAATGCCCTGGATGTCTCTGACTGCTCCGGGATCAGCGGTATTTGGGGCGGTGGCCCATTCTGTGATGAAGGAGCGCGTGGGAACTGAAAAGCGGATCCAGCCACTTGACGCTGTCCAAATGCTGAAACGCTGACGTCCAGACCTCCTGGTACAGAGACAATTAGATGCCTTTTATTACCTAAGCTCCCCTCATGAGACACTTCCTTAATGACAAAAGTACTGAACACATCTGTGCTCGATGATGTATCTGATGTCTCCAGTATTCGATGTGAACTCCTCGAAGGCAGACAGGTCTCCATCTTTGTATTTCAGCACGAGCCCTAGCCCTTGACTCATACTGATGGTTCAAGAAACGTCTGTTCAGACAGCCTTCACTTGCGTTGCAGATGTTCGTTCTGGGTGGCAGAAAGCTTCACAGTCATCACAAGACTCCAAAACCAGGAAGATAAAGTCACTGGGTGAGCAGCTGAGAGAGCCAAAAGGTACCTGACCAGACGAGGATGAAGGCTCCTTCTAAAGGGGATGGAAGAAAGCAATCACTGGGGAAGCCCCCTGCTTGGGGACATGGCACTGACACTTCAATGTGCCCCGCAGAACACGGCAGCAGCTGTCACCTGCTCACCATGTGTGAACTCAGTTCACAGTGCTTACCTTTCTGGTGTCTTATATTATCTGAGGGTACAATAAACAATACTCCCTTAGACTGCACTCTGGCACACGTTTTGCCTCCTTAGTTTAAAGCTCCTTAGGAACAAGTACTGTAAGGTTTTTGTCATATCCCTTGGAGACAGGAAGACAATAAACACTCAGCTTAGAGGAGACGCGTTTCTTTTTTCTTCCTAAAACAGATCCCACAGATCCCCTTTCTGGCCTCTGTGCCTTTGTTTACACTATTTTTTTTCCAATCTGAATATACTATCTTCCATGTTCCTAGTCATAATCACCCTTAAAGGTTTAGTTCAAAAGTGACTTCTCTTTCTCTCACATTTTTATTAGCATTTTATCTTTGGCTCTATTTTTATCTGCATTACAGAAACTGGAGCCAAGCTGCCTGACTGTCCTGGAAGCCCCTTACACAATGGGGCAGGCTTGTGTACTTGCAGGGGCCAGCCAGTGTCTAGCACGTCCTGCACAGCTGGTATTTAACAAAAATCATTACTGATGAATAAGCAAGTGAACAGATGCTTCTCTTTTTTTTTATTTTAAGGTCTATTATGTTACCATTTAACAAAAATATTAACAGCACCATAAATGAACCTTTTATTATAGAAACATGAATGTCAAAGAAGAAAATGTGAAACAATCTTACTAATAAAAACACTTAGTGGTTCAGAGAATGATTTATCAGGACCAAAAACACTTAGAAGTTCACAGAATGACTTATCAGGGCCATTGAGAAGATTTAATACATAATCAAGTATCAGTGCACCTGGACCTGGCAGTTACAGGCCTGGGAATGCAGGAAGGAGAGGGGGGGTAATACCTTAAGACACTGTCACCTCCCGTGGGTCAATCTAGATGGCAGCGTGCAGGACACCAAAAGACATACCCAACACCCAGGGCCCAACAGAAAGACATCTTCCGATTTGCATGACTGCTTTAGAGACTGTAAGTTAAGGTGGAGCATAAAGAAAAGAATTATGCTTAGGAAAAAAGGAACCATAAATTGGTACGTAAAGAAGGTTCCCGAGAGGCCAAGGTGAGCTGTCCTCACGTGTATCCTCTCACTGCCTGGTGACGGTCCCCACTCCCTCGGTCTCAGGGACTAGGGAATGGCAGCTGCCTTTCCCAGCTTTCCATGTGTGAAATCTCTCTGCTTTTTCCACTACCCACGTATATAAATGGAGAGTATCCGGCGCCGCTTTGGGGTGCTCTGACAAGCGGAAATATGATTTCCCATTTGCTAAATCATTCTATCTGCTGGCAATTCTAAAAGCAAGTTATGTACCTTTGAAGTCTGGTCTTTGCTGCCATCGTCAACTACTATCACTTCGTAAGTGAATGCAGGATCTTGTTTCTGCAGGAAGCAAAAATAAAACACCACAATTTGGCATGACTGGTACCAGGAATTCTAATAAAAGTTGTAAGGAAATCAAAAAACAACTATTTCAGTGTTGCTGTGTATAAACATGAATATAAACACTAATTATATAAAGTAAAAAGGCTGGGGACAGAAAGGAGAAGAGACTGGGCAGGAGTGGAGGGTGAACGTGGAATAAATCTTAGGGGGCCCCCACTCCTCCCCGGCCGCCCTGCCCCACGTGGTGGGAGGAGCCAGGTGCTGAGGGGCTGAGCAGCTCCGAGAGGGGCCACATGGTGCACGTGGTGAACCAGGAAAAAGCGCACAGGGTATGAAATCAGAGCGTGCAGATTCCAACCTGGCTGCACCGCTTAACTTTATGACCTCAGGCAAGTTAACATTTTGGGTCTGCTTTCTCTAAAAAAAAAAAAGCTCCACCAAAAAAACCAAAACCAAAACCAAAACCAAACCTAGTCCCACGGCTGGTGTGCAGATTACATGTAATAGAAGAGACAGAAGCCTCATGTATAACAAGGGCTCAGTTCTCTTCCTCTTTTCTGTAAACTTAAGTTTTGAGGAAGGCCCCCTCTCTTTCAGTGACTCTTCTCTCTTCCTTTTACACAAAAAAACCTAAAACCAAACAAAGTAAATCAAAACAAGACATTTTCTAAAAAAAAGAACCAGCCACAAAGCTCACTTATTTCCTTAAACTCTCCAAGGAGCTTCCAGCGGCAATGGCTACTACAAGACAGACACGTGTTACTTTTCTTCTCTTCACCCGGGGAAAGGAAAGGAAAAGAAATGAGGGGGGACTCTTCAGAATAATAAAGACATACAAAATGATTTCACCCTACTTACAAGTCTTTTTCAAATAAACGTCTTTCTTAAAAAGTCACAAAAGCACAACAGCGCTGTGCTGTCATACAAAGTCTGCAGACACACTATCACTCAATTTTAAATGTAGCATCGGGAAAGGGAGGATAAAAAGTGGGAGGGAAGGTGTAAGAGAGGTCTCCTGTTTGCTGAGGGCGCGGTGCTGGCTGTCGGGCTTTGCCTGCCAACAGCGGGACGGCTGGTAACAAGCAGGGCCCAGGGGCCCAGGCCCAGGCCCAGGATAGCCGTGCGCAGCCAGCACTGCCTCTCACAGTGGGTCCAGCCTGGGACCTGCAGCTAGGTGATCTGGTCTCGTTTTAGGTAGCGAAGTCACACTGAAAGACAAAACACGCTACCTGTCTCTCTTCTAGATAGCCCAGAGCTTCATCCATCATTACAGGCACTTAAAGAAAAAAAAACAGCATTAAAAATTGCTTTTAAAAATGACTTACCCGGCCCCGGCACACGCAGTTTACGAATGGAGAAAGCCTGAGAAACCTAACAAGCCCCCGGACTGTCCCCCAGTGGCCATTTCTATCTAGGACTCTTGCTCACAGCCTCGCTGGAACGCTTCAACCCTAGCCTTGATGCTGCGGCCAGTACCCATCCCTCCTCTTTTGAACTGCTGCAGCCACCAACTCTGTGCTCCCCACTGCCCGCAGGTGTTAATGTTCTGGCAAAGAGGTCAAGCCCATGCTTTAAATTTCCTCTTCTGCCCAAATTACCTCTTACCAAAACATCAAATAGGGCTTACACCGTTTTTCTTCATTGTATGAAGGCACGACAACAGAAAGCTGCTTAGTAGGGGCGTCCCATATGCTGGGTAAAGGTTCCTTCTGGCCTCTGGCATTTAAGAAGAACTTCTCTTCTTCGTGTTGATGAAGGTGCGGCACTTTCGAAGCAGTTATAAATGCAACAAAGGAAATCTAAAAGCAGGTAAGTTACCAAAAATTTGTTATATTGACCTTCTTAAACATGTTATGTTGGAATACATCATTTACATGATTTTTTTTTTGGTGAAATATTTAGTTTTTAGTCCATTAACAATGGTCTGGAAGTGACTCCAAAATTCAAACCGGTCAGTCCCTACGTATAAACTGACTTCTGTCCTTTTTTCCATCACTAGGAGGCTCTTTGTCTCCTCTGGCCTGTCATTCCCCAGGCCTCCGTCATCCCAGATGGAAGAGGGAACAGTCACTACAGAAGTGCCATGTACTCTGAGGCGCCCAGAAAGCCCGATCCCTCACACATATACAGCGAGGCTCCATCCCCACTTGGAGCCCATGTGACAGAAGACATATTGCAGGTAGAACCTGGGGGGTGAGGGCAGACCTCCCATCCAGACCAGACTGACCCAGGGTAGGAAAGGAAGAATTCTCCGCTTCCCACAGAAGGGACCAGTAATGCTTAAGAATATATACTTGATACCTTCCCAGACTTGAATTCAGAATACAGTCATTTTTGGAATCAAGTATTAAACTTGTAGGCTGTAGGCACCGTGCAATGCTAACATTATACAGTCTTCCATGTTCACTTGGGAGCTAGCTTCGGAAACATTCTTTGTAACATTATTTTGCAAGCAGAAAGTATACCAGTAGAAACAATCAATCTGCCAACTTTTGGAATGCTACTCATTTGTAATTTGACAACCATTTATAATACTCCATTAGGTACACAGTGACATACTGAAACTGAATATGCTCCTGATTTGGACGAATATATGGAGATAAGTATCCAGACTAGTGGTTAAAAGTTCCTGCTGGGCACCCCTAGTGTCCAGATTGTGGTTTCTAAATTCAACTTCCTAGTAAAAGTAACCGGTGCTCCTAGAGGAATGGCTGATTCAGATCTGGGGCAGGAAACATGTTATGGTGGAACAGCAGTCAGACCAGAAGGCAAGAAAGCTGTCAATGATCATGAGGGCCACGCCGACAGGACAAAGTCGCTAACTTGAGGGGTTCCCACTGGCCTACGATGGGAGGATTTTAGCCTCAAAAAGAATAATTACCACAATACATTAAAACACATGAAAAATTTTACATCACAGATTCATAATGATACTAAAAGTAAAAAATTGTCACCTTTGTAAGAAACCAGGCAACCACCTCATCATTTGAAAACTTGCCTTTTATCTTAGCTTTTATATATGAAAGGTCTTTCAGGGTAATTGAATAGCTGAGGATGAAATTTTTTTTCACTGTAAAATTCCAGGTAATACATAAAGAAGGAATGATACAATTAGAACACTCCACTTTGCAGTCCCCAGGGAAGTAGTGGATTTAGGTAAAGATCATCAATGACTACGAAAACCATTAGGTTAATGACAGACTTTTTTACTGGTGGATCAGGCTAACAACTCCTGAAACCATGAATCCATCTTAACACCAGAGAAATTCAGACATTACACACCTCCTGATATGATACAGGAAGAAGTAATCAGTACCACTCACACACTCTTCTTGATTAAAAATTCAAACATGCATTTTATCAAATCTCTAGATGTAACTATCAGTTTTACAAGGAATTCACGGGACAGAGTAAGATGTGACAAGTTACCTAAGGGATACCATCAGTAAAATCCAGATTATGAGGAATATTACAGGACAAATGACCACTTATTAAAGACCTCGGTGGGAAAAGGGAGGAGAAATTGTTACAGATTAAGGGACTTGAGACATATCAATTGAATGCTAAGTGTATGTGAACACTGAATGGAACAAACTAATTATACTATAAATGAGGCATCTGAACTGATGGGGTATTTGAAATCACTGAACAATGGTTAAACTTAAAAAAAAACAGTGATAACCTGATTGTGGTTATATTTTTAAAAAGGAGTCCTATCTTTAGAGATAAATGCTGAGGATTTACAGGTAAGATGTTATGTCTTGGATTTGTTTCAAAATTCATTTACAAAAGAAGTGAAGTGAGGAGACAGTAGGCATATGTGTGTGTATGTATGTATGTGTGTATGTATGTATGTGTGTGTGTGTGTGTGTATGTATATATATATATGAAAAGATTAGTGGTTTTTGTAATGATGTCCTGCCCTGGCATTAAAAAAGAATGAAGTTACGCTAGCCGAGTGGTATTTGCATACATGAACTCATCTCTCCAAGTTTCCTCACGGTCAAATGAAGCTAATGATGATAACATTTCTGTCAATGTTCTAAAGATCAAATCAGACAATCCCTGCTAAATACTGAATACAATATCCAACATATCGTAAGTATTCAATAAATGGTAGCTCTTATAACCACTTCAATCTAATGGGATCAAATATTTCCAGTACAATCTCATAATGTACAAATTTAAATCTGTGCAACAGAGTCAACATAAGGCGGATTCAATCTAGGATTCTGTCAAGCTCTGCTCCACCCAATACCTGAAAAAAATCCAAATCTCCATATACTATTAAGGGAAAGAGAGGACTCCTCTGTCACCCAAACACAAACACTAAAGAAATCAGAATGCGTTTCCTTTTCTCTACCTAAACTACTAAGCTGTGAATTCTGGCAAGATGGCAAAGTGGCCTTCCTGGTAATGCTATCTCGGCTGCTAACGTCAATGTTAAGGAAGCGGAAACCTCTCCATTTACTGACTAGATGGCAGGCTCATTCCAAATTATCTGGGACAAAGTTCACTAGGCAAATTTTCTATGACTTACGTATCAGCAAGCATTACGATGTTTCTGTTTCCTCAGTAATGACAAAGACAATCGGGAGTCTGAATTTTACTGCACTGTCACATTTAGAGGCAGCGATTTTAGGGTGTTGAATTCTGGGACATAACGACCCCCAGGCAGAGGGTAACAATAGACCTTGTCTATCTTGGTTTTTCCAGTGTCCCTAGTGGGTCTCCTGGTCTGCTGATTTATCCTATCTGTAACAGATGGCGCTAGTCGGCGCTATCACCACTTTCTATTTGCTTAACCACACCAAGGAAAGGAGTGTCTAGAAAGCACACACCTTCTGGGGGCCCCAGACCTCCCCAGGTGGGGCCAGACTGCAGAGACTGCAGACCCAGGAGGACATCCTGGGTAGGCGGGGGCTGACAGGGAGGGTGGGTCCGGAGATGAGTGGCGGGGAGAGCAGACAGGGTGGGCAGGTTCCAGTGAACACAAGTACTAGGCTCTGGGCACACACAGAGAGAAAGCTCCAAAATAAAAATATAGAACGTAAGAAGGGGGTGTGAAATTCTAGCAGAGGAAATTCTGGGGTCCAGGCTTGGGAGAAGCATGCTGCAGGGGACACGTCGAAGAGCAGGCAGTGCGGAGGAGAGGATGCCTGGGAGCCCAGGCCCGCGTCGGTCCCCAACCCCTCTCCTCACCAGAATCAGGGCTGCAGCCGCCAGCGCCGCGCCGAGCACCGCCAGCTGCAGCAGAAGCGGAGCCATCCTCCATGCCGGGCC